ATTTAGGATGTCTTTGCATTACTTGCTCTCACTTTCGTACATTTTCCCCTCATCCTGAGGTACTCATTCCTGGCCCTCTGGTATCTTTCTCTGCTCTCTGATGTCCTGTTATTTCTAGAGTTTATCCACGCCCTTGTACTTAGTTGCTTTGCTATCTTACATCCCTGATTAAATCATGGGTTCCTCATTTGCATTTGTTTTCTTTTAGATTGGGACAAAATTCTGCTGCTTCCTTAAACTTCTAAGTGATGTAGTCCATGTCCTGGGCCGTCTTTCCTCCTAGCTCTATTTCCCATGCTATATCTATTATGAATTTACTTATCCTCATAGTTTCTCTTTCGTAAAGCCAGCCTTTTGCTTTCTGGTTCCTTCTTTGAATATGTTACCCATACTTCTACCAGATGTTCAAATATCAGTACACTCTGATCGCTCATTCCCACTGGAGTTTCGAAGTTGATTTCCCTTATGTCGGAATCGTTCAGAGTGAATACCAGGTCGAATCTAGCTGGTTCGTCGTTACCTCTCATTCGTGTGGGTCCCCCCTGACATGTTGGCTTAAAAAGAGTCTTGTTGCCACTTCCAATAGTTTAGCTCTCGTGTTTCTTCACCTCCCTGCAGCTCCTTGTTCTCCCAGACTATCATCCTGTGCTTGAAATCTTCCATGATCCCCGGGATTGTGGTTCCCGTGGCATTATGGTAAGACACTCGCCTGACATTTCACGAGTGCTTTGTCCTGAGTTCGTATCCTGACCGGGGAGGATTTACTGGGCGCAAATCCTTAATTGTAGCCTCTGTTCAACCCAACAGTAAAATGGGTACCTGGTTGTTAAATGATTTGGCGGGGTCGTATTCCAAGGAACATAGGATTAAGAACTTGCCCAAAACACTAAACATGCTAGTGGCTGTACAAGAATGTAAAAACTCTTGTATACAGTATATAAATAAATAAAAAAAAAATAAAATAATGATAAGCAGACAGGAGCGATTGCTACAGGCGACAGAGGTTGCTCTCTTGATTATAGTATTAACTGCCATGTTGTTTATCGTATTTTTGCCTGGGTCTTCTGTCATTTGGTGGGAGGGGGGGGGGGTTATATATCACTGCTACTACTATTAGTCCTCCCATCGTCATGGTGCCTGTTACGTAATCTCTGAACCCCTCGCAGTCTGGAATAACCAATCTCCTCAAAACTCCATTCCTTTCTCATCAGTAGGGCCATACACTGCCTCCTCCCCTTCCTTCTCTCTTTCTCTCCTTATTATAGTGTAGTCCTGTGGAAACACCGGATTTGTTATGATTTTTGACAGTTTTGTTTCCGGGAGTCCTATTATATCCAGATTATCTTCTTGTGCTCTTTTCTTAATTAAGTTCAGTTGCTTTGTAATCCCATCTATGTTTGAGTAAATCACTTTGAAGCTGACACTTCCATCATGCCTCGATTTCCTTTTTTTTTTGTCCCTAGAACAAGGGGACAAGGAGAGTCTGGCATTGGATGGCAGGGAAGGTTTGGGATGGGAGAGCATGGAGTCTAAAAAGGTGGACCAGGAGGATCTGGGGTCAGGGGGGGGGGGGGCCTAGAAGGGTCTGGAGTGGGTGGGGGGGCCCTAGTAGGATCTGGGATGGGGGGAAGGCTGGAAGGATCTGCATGGTATGTGGGACTGAAAGGGTCTGGGATTGGGGGGCAAGGTGGTCAGAGGTTGGGAAATGGAGAGCCTTGGGTGGGGGGGGGGGTGGCAGAGGGGAAAGGGGGAGCCAGGGGTGGGGGAACAGGGTAGGCATGGTCTGGAGAAGGGATGTCTAATGGTTGGGGAGGTGTTGGTGATTGGGGGAGAAGGATCATGGGGTGGGATGGTGGGTGGCTTCGGCACCTCTCTTGAGATGCTGGCCTGCTGGGGAACCCGTTCTCGCAAATTTAATAAGTCAATATTGACTTATTAAATATGTGCATAGGTGACATACTTAACATAATAGATACCCTTAAAAAGATTCATAGAAAACACCGACCTTACCTAACCTTCTTAGTATCTTAAGATGAGCATCTTATTGCTTTGTAATTACAATTATTACCTAACCTATAATAGGTATAGGTTAAGTAATAATTGTAATTACAAAGCAATAAGATGCTTATCTTAAGATACTAACAAGGTTAGGTAAGGTCGGTGTTTTCTATGAATCTTTTTAAGGGTATCTATTATGTTTAGTATATCACCTATGCACGTAGTTAATAAGTCAATATTGACTTTACGAATTTGCGAGAACGGGTTGCTTGTCAGCCATCTACCACTCTGTTTGCAAAAGAAAACTTTCAAATATTTTTTCGGCACCTTTGTTTCCTTAGCTTGAATCTGTGTCCCCTTGTTCGTGAAGTTGCTGGTTTCAGGAATTTGTCAATATGTTCAATTCCTGTTAGCATTATGTAAATGGTGAATCGCCTCTGTTTCTTCTATCTTCTTGTTTTGGCATGCTTAACTCAAGTCTCTTCTTGTAACTCTTTCAATTCCGGAACTCATTTTGTAGCATGCCTTTGCACCTTTTCTAGATTAATTGTGCTTCTTGAGATATGGACACCATACAACTGCTGTATATTCCAATTTTTTAAACAAAAAAGCCATGAACAGTTTCTTTAGTATTTCACCAGCCATATAACTAAAAGCAAGCCTGAAGTTGAAAAGTAACACATACGCTCTTCTCACCATGTTCTGTGTGTACTCGCCTAATTGTGCTTGCGAAGGTTGAGCTCTGGCTCTTTGGTCCCGCCTCTCAACCGTCAATCAACAGGTGTACAGCTGAGGTGTTACTAGCAGACCTCAGCTTGAAACCCCAACGGTTTCAAGCTCGACAAGCTCCTTGTTTGTGTGTTACATCTGACCTTTTAAAGAAATTGCCTGGATCAACATCCTCCAAATTGTTCAGTATTTTAAGTTTCAATGAAATCTGCCCTGTCATACCTGGTTAGCAGTTTTCTTAGCCCTGAGGCCCCTCAACCGTTCCCAAGGCCTTCAATATGTTGAAGACTGCAAAAGTTGGAGAAAGGGTGGGTAGGCCATCCAAGAAAGTTGTGCAGATTCAAAGTACTAGTGAGCTTCTATTGTACTAGTAAAGTTTAGAGTACAGTCATCAGCGTAGGCTTGCGTTTCATGGATGACGTGTAGTAGGTGGTTCAAAATAGATATTCCGCAGCAAAATTACATGCATGCTTTTTTTGTGGTACACTGGCAATAATTGAATAACTTTTGACTGTTTCATTGAGGACTTGCTTAAGTACAAACTTCAGTATAATCACTCATTAGTTACAGAACAATGTCTTAAGATGCCTAGTTGTAGTACATTACAGTATATTCCAATGCAGCTTGTAGGATCCTATTCTGGCTTAAGGATAGGAGATAGATTGTTGCATCCTATAAGGAAATGCTCGGTGGTCTTATTTGGCTGCAGCATATATTCACTTAGACTATTCTGGTTGTCAGGTTGAATTGAGATTTATAAATCTAACCCAAAGATTAGATAAATATTATGTTTATGCAGCACTAAAAGCATCATTATTTTAGCACCTTAGAAGTTATATGTGAATCAATCACTCGATCTTTCCTCTCTTCCTCCCCCCCCTCCATTCTTTCCATATTCTTCTATTTTCATGGAAGAATAAGTTTTGGCACATCTTGCCAAAGCACTTCACCTTAGAGAAGGGAAGGGAATTATCAGAGAAAAGTCCCAAGCCATTATAGCACCTGGAAGGGGTCAGGATAAGATTTTGGGATTGAATGGGGGAAAGGAATGGTGCCCAACCACTTGGATGATCTGGGATTGAATGCCGACCTGCTTGAAGTGAGACCGTCACTCTACCGTCCAGCTTAAGTGGTTGGGCTTCACCTTACAGTGTGCCAAATAATTTGACATTGGCCACATTTTTTCACAAGTGTAAATTACATTTAACAGTAAATTGAAACAGTAAACAGTAAATTACATTTAACATTCTTTGACAGAAGGTCAACAGGTTAGAAAATTTTAACATGAAATGCTTAATGGTAACCTGTAAAGACTTAATGGGATGGTATTCAGATAAGGACTAGAGGAAGTTGGCTCAGTGTGAGAAAAGTGTGTGGCCTTGTTGAAGGAAACAGACTGAATTACTGAGGAACCGAGCTGTTCAAATTCCCCTTCCCCTCACCGAGATGGATCATATGGTGAATGTAAAGATGGCATTACCTTCAAAGCAGATCTCTCTCTCCGAATCATCATCATTCACATCGTTGCCGTCCATCAATCCAATTTTCACATCAGCACTTAAGCCAGCTGCAGCTATGGGCAGTGGAAGCAATAAGTTCAAGATAGTGGACAACATGCGAGCATCTCTGCTCCCGAGGGTACTTTACACATTGCATTCAGTTTCATAAATGAACATGCTTTGATAAGAATATCATCAAAGTTATTGCAATGATTTGATTTTTCACAATTAAATTCATATTGGTTATATGAAATGTGAATACATACATTTAGAATATTCAGAAAGGCATACTATACAGTACTGTATGTCTGTTTTTGCACATGTTCCTGTATGCAATTTTATTTTATTTTGTGCATACTATTTGTTTATTATATTAGGGATTGTTTATTATATTAAGGGCTTTTGGCATAAGGCTACAAACTTTATTCATTTTTTTAATTTTCAGATTAACTGTATAGTACTGTTCAGCCTTTACAGTTGATGTATATAAATTAGTGCAGTTCTCACATTTAGTGAGAACTTCATGTTTTTATTTTGTGTGTACATTTACAGGTAGTAGCTAGTTATGTTATATATTATATTTAGTCCAGTTTTTAAAAATTGTAAGGACTTATTTTAGATTTAATTACTCATTATTTTCATAATTATTCATTGCTAATGCAAATCAGATGGCTATATTAATTCTTTAATATGTGCCATGCTAAAAATTAGTAAAATCAATGCCTTGCACATACAGTATAGTATTTTTGTTTCATCATGAAAATTTTTCTACAGGTGCTAAATCGCTCTATGGACCCTCGGACATATGAACAGCAGCAGCCGCTCATTGCACAGCTTCCACAAGTACCACTTTTGCCTCAACAAATTATTACTTCTGGTACTCGGAAGGACTGCATTCGCCTTAGAGGGCTACCATTTGAGGCGCAGGTGGAACACATACTTGAATTTTTAGGAGAGCTTGCGAAGAGCATTGTTTATCAAGGTGTCCACATGGTGTACAATGCTCATGTAAGTTGGTTATGATAAGATTTCTTCTTGTCATAAGTAATTGTTTAAATGGTGTATGAAGTGATTTTCATATTACAAAATGCAATGTTTAGCCTTATTTAGTGTGTACAAGTTTTAACTTTAAAATATAGCATTGCTTATTGTTTTTGACAGGGACAGCCAAGTGGTGAAGCATTCATACAAATGGATAGTGAACATTCTGCCTTTCTTGCTGCTCAGCAGAGGCATCATCGCTATATGGTCTTTGGCAAAAAGCAGCGTTATATAGAAGTTTTTCAGTGTTCGGGGGAAGATATGAATATGGTGCTGACTGGTGGCCTCCCAGCCCAGCGACCCGTCGTGTCCCCGGGTATGTTGGTGTGGGACAGTACCGGCACTGCCCTACCTGGCGGGATACCCCATCCCCCAGGTTTACATCATCATGGTGCTCATCGTCCCCCATTGCCCCCTTTCCCTGGTCTAGCCCATCCATTTCCACCTCCTCCCCATGGTCCCATACTCCCAGGCATTCCTCCCAGTCCCCTCAAGCAACCAGATACTCCACTGCTCCTTCCCCCACCAATGGGTCCACCTCCACCCAGGCCAACCCTTGCCCTCCCACCTCCTATGGAGATGCCCCATACTTCTCAAGCTCCCCCAACTCTTCTCACTCAAATGAAGCCCACCATGTCAGCAATGCCTCCAGCACTGCTAGGCCACTATGGAGACATGCCAGTAGTATCACAAATTGGCACGGCCACAAATCCCATTTTTTTCTTTACCAATACTCGCACTACTCTTGCTGGTGGGCTTCATCCACAGGTGACATTTGTGCCAATGTCATCTGCTCAAAGTAGAGACACTCAAGGTGCACATAATGTTCAGAAACCCCCAGTGGGACCCCCTCTCCTCCCAATGCCCTATGCTGCAGCTACTGCCATGGCAGGGGCTAGATTACCGACTACACAGAAGCGAAGCTTTGAACAGGCGTTTCCTGGGGACACAGGTGCTGCTGGCATGGGAGCCTTAAAGCGGCCTCCTCTTGTAAATCCCTCTCTTTTACACCCTATATATCCCCCACCCCCAATGTTCCCTACCATGTAATACTCAGTCTCAGTGCTGCATAACATACTTGTACATAGTGGTTGACAAGAGGGATATAGAGCACATTGTAATGGGTGAAAGCAGGTGGTATTTGTGATCTATTGGTAGGTTTTGGCAACTGTCACTCTGTAGTATCAGTAGTTGTCATGCCAGTTACCAAGGTGTTCACTGCATCCTGCCCATTCCCATAAACTCTTGTGGTGATTGTGTGTTTGTGTGTGCGTGTGCGCGTGGGAGGTGCAGCCGCCTCTTGTGTGTGCAATCATCTGCTGTTATTCTGGTGTGCTGCACCTGGTTTTGCTGGAGATGTTAGCACTGCCAGCCAACACTGTATGACTGCTTTGAATATTTTGTGGTGGATGAATTATTTTTTTAGCTTTTTGATGGATGTTAGACCATAGGTCAACCATGTTGGCTGTGAGTAAGGTATCTAATACAGTACTGTGTTCCTGATGTTTTTATTATTTAATTCTTGGCATGGTTAATGATTATTGTTAATACATATAATTTATAGTTTCTTGAGAAATACATTGATAAGAGCTTAGGACATGATCATAATGTTTATTTCATATAATTACACTGACATGATCATGAGACATGCTCAATTAGAGGCCATACTCATGTGCCAATAATAGTTGGCAATATCTAAGATCTATCCACAGTACAGTATGTGGGTGTGTGTATGTATGTGAGTGAAGGTTTGATTTGGCTACTGTGTACATGGCTGCATATATTTCATCCTGGTAGGTACCTCATCTACTCTGGCCTATTTCTTGCTCACACTTGACTGTTATAGACTTAGTAATTTTAGCTGTAAGTTAAACATTTAATAATAAACTAGAAAGCACATAGATTAGGATATAAGCAGCCGTGTGCACCAGAGCAGATGGTTGGCTGGCAGTGTGGTGGTGGTGGTGGTGTGGTGGTAGATAAATCCACCCCAATGGGAATATGTGCAGTGAGCCCTTTATTGGGTTTTTGGTAGGACTTAGGTGCTGACCACAAAATTTTAAAAGACGAGCTAAAATAATTTGATTTACACAAAGATACTTTTTGTGCTAGCAGGTATCTTAAGTCATTTCTAGATGTACCCTGGTGGATAATAAAATTAGTGTGTAATAACCATGTTAAATATGATAACTCAAACTTGTGGAGTTTTGTGGTCATGTGCCCTCTGGCTGGGCTGTTGAGGGGCCAGATGCGGGGGGCAACAAGGTCCTCTTAACACTTCTGTAATACATTCCACTAAGTGTGATATCTGCACTATTGTTATTTTGTGTGTACATTCAGTAGTTTTTCTCTATTGTTATAGCTTCATATTTAGTTCAGTTATTGAACATTTTCAAGGCTTATATGACTTTTATTGTTTCATTTTGAATCTGGTATCTACCAGACTAGTACATTTAAGTGTGATATCTGACTGAAAGTCAGCCAAGAAAATGTTCCAGATGATAATTTGACTTACCTGGACTTTGGTGTGTACGCCAATATTACTCTGCTAAGACCAATAAAGTCTGTTAAGATATTCCCAGTGGTTTTCTGGTTCCGGTGTATGGGTCACCTCTCATCTTCTATGTCAAACAGAGCCACTCTCTCATAAGAGGCTCGTGGGCCTGGCAGATTAAGGTAACAAGGTAGGCAAGAGCTTTACACCTTTTGTGGTTGCAGGCTGCATTCTGGTGTTGTAGTGGTATTAAGTAGCTGTGGTATAGTGTAGTATGGTGGTGGTGTATGGTGGTGGCTTTGGTGATGGTGCTTGTGGTAGATATAATAATGGGTGTTTGTGCACGTCTTTAAATGTGGTGGAATGGTAATGTATGGTTTGGTGGTGGTACTGGTTGCATGTGGTATTATGGTGGTGGTGGTTGTTGTAGTTTGAAGCTGCAGTATTTTAAAGGCAGGCACTGTGTTGTATCAAATTACATTAAATATATTAATTAACAAAATTTTTTATGCAAATCACATTACCAAGAAAAGTTTTAGGAACGTTGCCTGCCTTTATATAGATGGTGTTAGTCTTGTTATGTCTTTATTTCCCATTTTTGATTATATGTATGAATACTTTCATTGTGTGACTGAAAATGGTCAAAATTCAATTTAGTTACGACAAGCTGAAGGATCCTCATGCCAACCATTACACATTTACTTTATTCTATATTTTTTTATCATGTTCATTATTTTCCACTATTTAGTGATGGTAAAATGTCTTTTAATGTGCAGTTCATGTCTGAAACAGTGAGTTTTTGTGCTTATGAGCTCTACTTGTGTGTGGAAGAGTGCGTGCGTGTATGTAACCATTTTATTATTCTGCAGTATGACAGTCTAGGTTTGGCATTTGTAATATGACCGATACATTTATCAGGTATGTGATTTCATCAAGGTTTATTTTTAAATACTTTGTATGGATATTATACTTTGATGAAATCCACTTTTGGCATAAATATCATCTGTTATAAATAACAAACTGATGCTGTCAATCATGCAGTAATTGACATGGCCTTGAGTGCCAGTATTTTCTAGGACCATCCTTGATCCCCTACCCCCCTACAGGAGGCACTGTGATTGCACCCCCTTTTGGCGCATTTCCACTGGGGCCTGCTCCTCCAGTTTTGAATGCTGTTGGTGCCGTTACTCCCCGTCTACCCACATACCCAGGAGTGGCATATCCAACTATGTTCTATTGGCCATACCCATCTCCTCCTGTATCTCCAAGCTCTCCATACTATGGTTCTCCTCCACACCTTGCTGCACCAGCTACACCACCTCATCACACAATTGTAAGTATAGTTACTGTCTACTGTCATATTCAACATATCAGTTACAAAGTTGTTTAATCCACTAGACAAACTTTAGCATTATAGACTTTAGGTGATTGGTTGGCCGGTCCTGTTCTCATGATTACACTATTATGGGCAAAGTGTTTTCTCTTCATTAGTGGTGTCTTAAGTCATTCAACTTTGCTAAGTACATCTTCTACTGTTCCTGTTTCCTCAACATTTATACACAAATCACAAGCTGTATAACTTGTGCATAAACAAATAAATAAGACTAATCATTAACGGCAAAAAAGCTGGTAAACAGCCGATGTCCAAGTAGTAACCCTGGCAATGCGCACCTGTTTCATGTGACACATTCATGGTTCAGTTTAATGAATTACTAACATTACCTGAAAATTTAAAAAGGAGAACAATGTCAGCATATTGTCAAATTCAATCATTTTAATTTAAAATCGGTGTAAAACACTTCCAAATATTGCTGAATTCTAAAACATTTCATACCACTTGTTATGTGCCTTAAGACACTATGCACAGTGCATTGGTTAAAAGAATTAGTTAACTGAGCTAGTGCAATGCCACGAGTAAATTATAGGTTCCAGGAGTCAACATAGAAAAATGACTAAGCGGCAACATAGTTACGTAACCCTTTGTACGTATAAAAAAGTAAATTTTATTGATTTACCAAACATGCTTACAAATATGCTAATAATGCAACAGTAGCAGTATAAATAATAAGATATATATATTATTATGTTTTCTCAGATATAACGCTGGATAAAAACCAACACTAATGTATTTGTGTGTATTATGTAAAGATTTACACAGTCTTTTGCACTCTCCTGAGTGCTTTATCAGTGTCTGAGTACAGTGGAACCTTGGTGTATGATTGCATCTTTATACAAAATTTTCCATGTACAGTACGGCAAAAGCTTCATCAGAAAATAGACCCTGGGGTACGATGTTCACTTCAGAGTATGATGTTCGTTCATACTTGTCTGAGACGGTAACATCAATTTATGCTTATACTGTATGCTGCCTAGTGATAATCTTGCTTGAATTCACCTAAGATTTCATTTTTTTCTTAACATGAAAGTTTCTATTATATATCACGCCATGGTTCCCATGGTGTGATATCCATGGCATCCTCAATAGTTGAGGATGACGATAGAAGAAAAAAGAAAAATTTGTAAACGTGAAGATCGTATGCACGCATTTGATTTAGCTAGGAAAATGTGTTCAGTATGGGAAGAACTGCGAAGTATTTCTGAAAAGACTTCCAGATAAAGCTGTAGCAAGCCATTGTATTAACCTTTTTAATGACAATGTGATACAGTATCTCACTACAGACAATTGTTAAAACATAGGCAAAAACAAGTTTTTTTAGACAGATTCTTTAAAAGACAAACAATTAATAATCCACAACAAGTGGTATGCCTACAAAATGTAGGAGAGAGAATGCCCCAGAAACATCATCACTGCCTGATATAGCGGAAGGTGACTTCCCTTCCAATTTTTTCCAAATTCTTCCATAGTTTAAATTGCTTCTACAGAAAAGCTAGAAGCTTAGTAAATAAATTTGCTGCTGTGTGTGCTACATTGAGGCTGAGAATCACATTATCATTTGCATCAGCAAAACATGGAGACGAGAAGATGTTCAGTAATTGAAGGGGAATTCTATCTTCCAAGGTACCATCCACCTCTCGGTAAGGACAATAAATACTGTAGGAAAGAAAATGGCCATGGCTGAGCAAAGTTTCAGTTTGTATGGGTGTGTGAAGTGGGCATGTGGCAGGACTGGCAGGCAAGATGCAAAATGCTGAAATACAGAAACTGATAAGTGCTGAAGCCCTAAGGAAAGGTGAAGAGACACTGTACACAACTGAGGCAAGAAGTGCTGCAACAATTATATTAAATTTTGAATTAAAAGAAAAGAAGATAATTGTACTGTACAACTGTGTAAATCTGGTGCATGCACACCTTTATTATTGTATCCAAGGATGGAGACCTCATCTTCAGAAAGATGTGTCTGTTTTGGAGAAAGTTCATTGTTGGGCAACTAAAATCATTCCTGAACAAAGTTCATTTTCGTACCAGAAATTGATGAGGGCCACAGGGCTAGCAACACTTCAAACCAGACACAACAGGGCTGACCTCATTGAAACTTTTTAAAAATGCTGAACAATTTGGAGGATATTGATTCAGACCACTTCAGGTCACATGTAACATGAATAAGGATTAACAATTTCAAGTTCAACAAGCCACAGTGCAGGATGGAAAACAGGAAATGCCTTTTCACCCATAGTTATTAACCAATGGAATCTCCTACCCACCGAAGCCGTAAATGCCAAAATGCTACTGAATTTCAAGATCCAGCTGGACAGAAACAGGACAAATGGGACCCTCGATGTACCGCTGGTGGCTTCCTGTCCTCATTGAGGCCATTAGAAAGATTGTGGCATTCAGATAAAGTGGGTAAAAATGTCTGAGAAGTGAACCTAAGGCAAAGCATGGGGAAAGTACATGAAGAGAGCAAGGAGTTAGGTGAAGAATGGAAAACAAATCAAAAGGAATTTTTGAGTGCAAGGAATCACTAGAACTTTGAATTGAAGGCAGTAAAAAGTGAAGAAACCTAGAGATTCATGCACAATTTGCCTAAAGAATGAACACATGAAATTAGCTTATAGCAGAGGGGCAAAGCTGAACATGGTGAGAAAGGCTTGAGAGAGACTGAAGGCTTAAATGAGTAACCAGTCTGGCAACACAACAAAATTTTAATTATACACTTTGAACACACTATGTAGAACAGAAAAATAAGTAAATGTAAGCACTGCTGAAAAGGATAAAAAATACATAACTGAGTGCTAGTTGACTACACATCCGTGAGCAGCAAAATTTGTAGATACTCTGCTGAAAGACGACCAGCAAAGCTTGATGAAGGTAATTGGTGCTAGCGGAGCACCAGAGCTGGCTGGAGGCATAGTTCGTACTAGTCGAGCAACTAACAGGTTAAACAGAAGTCTAGGTGTCTAGAAGCTGCACAAGTGTTTAGGGGTCCTGAAAGGAGGAGACAATGAATGTAAAAATGCATGCTGGCCCATCTGTAAAGTAATGACAATCAAAGCCACAAAGAATGTGGGATGTCGGGCTGTGCCACCGAAGAATGATTCTCTTGCATATTTAACAAAAATGTTTTCTAACAGACATCACATAAGTGTACTACTGTACAGGAAATAAAGGAAATAAAATTAAACTAGAAACAAGGGAGTAAATTTAGTCTTCTCATTTTGTTGTACTCTGTACAGAGAGCGAAAAAAGTGCCCTCCTCTCATGGAGAGCCAGAGTGTAGTGGTGTGGTGTCATGCTGAGAAGTAGCAACTTGAGAGTGCTAGCTGATGAAGTGGCGGTTGAGTGAAGGACTTCTGAAGAAGGTTTATTCCTTGACCCCACAAAGATGGGGTCAAGGAATGAAAGGAAGGGGGGGGGGGGGGAGGAACCAGAGTGGAATTTCCATGTTAAAGAAGTATAGAGATGATGCCCCTGACATGTTGTTGCAAAGTAAAGCAAAGTAATGCCAAACTCCTCAAAAGAAAGCTACCTTTCTCATATTATAAGAAAAAACTGCTAGTTTACACAAAGTAATATGTCTAGCTTGTTAACATTCAAAACTATGAGCATCTTGTTGCATGTCACATATGTTAAGACTTAAATGTTACATAGAATACTGAAAATTACGTGGAAAAAGCACGAATAGGAGGGATGGGCGGGGGGGTGGTGAATTAATCTATGCAGATGCCAGAAGGTAGCTCTGAGGATGTCAAGAGTGGAGGAAGGACCCTTAGAAGGAAGGGAAGTGGCCTGTTGGTTCGCATGTGAGATAGGACATCGAATGCTCATAGCTCCTTTGATGGCTGGAAGTGGTTGGCAGCGTGGACTTGTAAGCAGCAGAAAAATGAGTGAGGAATGAAATGAACATTATGCAGACTAGAGCCGAGGAATGAATAACTACAAAAATTAATACATAAAAAGCACACACAAAAACTAAACGATTCAAATAACTGACAAAAATAAATGCAGAAAAATAAAGACCTTGTGGCTCAGTGGTATATTTATATCTTGTATACAAGAAGGTACATTGGGTTGTGAGAGTACGTAACATTGGTGTTTTTACATTTTTTGCAAAACCACTAATATGCATAGTGTTTTTGGCAGCTCTTTAATCTAACAGATAGTTAGAATATTTAAAAGTACAGAACAGTGTAGCAAAATTATATTTCAACATAATAACTAAATATAAATTGATGGTATTGATTATACTGGTGAAGTTGCACATCTTAAGTATTAACATTCTGTGAATGGGTAGCACAAGATGGTGAGTTTGAAGCACCAGGTTGGAAACTATGAAGATGAAATTAGGTACTTTTTGGTTTTACTTTTGAATAAAGCATTGGTTCAACAATTTTAATTGGGGAGCGAGTTCCATAGACTGGGTCCTTTTATTTGCATGGAGTGTTTGCACAGATTTAGTCCAGTCTAGGGATTTCAAAGAGAGATTTATTCCTGGTGTGGTGCTCATAGGTTCTAATACATCTACATATCAAGGAAGAGTTTCAGCTTGTGATTAGCATTTAGGAACAAGGTTTTGTACATGTAAATAGTACAGGAGAATGTGTGTGGAGTGTGTGTGTGTTCAGCATGCTTAGGGATTTAAACAGATGGCTGTGTGTTGTCTGAAGCCAGAGTTAGTTATAATTCTGATAGTTGATTTTTGCTGGGTGATGATGGGCTAAAGGTAATTTGCAGTGGTTGATCCCCATACACAGATACTGTGTGTTAGACAGGGGTAGATTAGTGAGTAGTATAGTGAAAGGAGAGCAGATTGGGAAACAATATCTGATTTTAGAGAGTATCCAGACAGTTTTTGAGACATTTTTGGTTGTGTGCTGTATTTGGGTGCTGACATTTAGTCTCTTGTCTATGTATAGGCCAAGGAACTTTCAATCATTTTAATGCTAATGTTAAGAGTGTCTGTCTATCTGAAGGTAAGCACAATTAGTCACAGCAGAATGGTCTCGGATTAAATTTCTGCAACATATCAGATGAGTTTGGGCAACATTTACTTTCACTTGATGCTTCATGTAGCAGTAAACAGGTACTTGGAGTTAGGCAACTTGTTTTGGGTTGCATCCTGGGGAAGGTAAACAGTGGTTGGGTGACGGGGGAAACCTCCACAAGCTTAACAGGCTTCCTATCTCCGACTATACGAGAAGCTGTATCTGCTACTTTTAATAGTCAGTGAATGTGATATTTAATTCTTGTAGTGTTATACAGTAGTTGGCTTGGCTGCTGGTCAGTTGATAACAGAAGCCTAATTATTGCCACTTTAATTTTTACTATACAGTACAATTACTTTACCTGAGGGTTAAATTTAGTGGTCTCAATAATGACCAAAAAGCTGGTAGTTTGTCTAAGGTTCCTCAGTTTGTCTTGATTCTGTCCAGCTGAATTTTGAAATTTGGCAGCATTTTGGCATTTACGGCTTTGGTGGGTAGGCGATTCCATGGGTTCATAACTGTATGGGTGAAAAAACATGTTTTCTGTCTTGCATTGTGACTTGCTGAACTTGAAATCATTGCTCATTGTTCATGTTACACCTGACCTTTTAAAGAAATGGTCTGAATCAGTATTCTCCAAATTGTCCATTTTTTTTTTTTTAAAGTTTCAATGCAGTCAGCCCTGTCATATCTGGTTTGCAGTGTTAGCCCTGTGGCTCTCAACCGTTCCTGGTATGAGAGTTGACTTAGTTCACAAATGATTTTAGTTGCCTAGCTTTGAGCTTTTTCCAACGCAGATATGTCGTCGAGACGAGGTCTTCATGCTTTGATACAATAATCCAGGTTTATGCACACCAGTGATTTATACAGTTGTACAACTACCTTCTTTTCCTTAGTCAAAATTTAGTTTGATTATATCTAGGATTTGAATTGCATATTTTTACTGCAGGTTCCACTTATTTTACAACTTTAAGTGATTGATGGATTCTGACTTAAACGTCCTTTTCATCATCAATTTGCTACAAGCTAATGTTGTTGATTTGGTGGTTGTCATGTATTGTTATGCCCCACATGCAGGGTCTTGCAATTTTTGATTAATTAAAAAAAAAAAAAAATATGCCAGTCTTCCAACCATTTGTGGAGTTCATGTAGATCTCTTTGTAAGGCCTAAATATCATTGTCACTTCTGACTTTACCATAAATTATCATTAGTGTATTACCAATTTTTTTTTAATTAGTAATAGAAGTTCTAATTTTTATTTCTTCTAGTTTATATTTTGTGGTTAGTTTCCCTTATTGTTTATACAATGGTTATGTTTGGCACCTTGGTCTTCCAGGGAGAGGGAATATAATGAGTTTGTTTATACTGTACTGTAATGACTTCATTATTATGAGGTACTTTTACTGTAATATGTAATATATAATTTCATTTTATAAGCGCTGTACAGTATTGTATACAAATTAACTAAGAAATTTATAATTACCTCCTGGTGGTATAGGCGTGATGGTTGGCCTGTGAGGCATGAGTTAAAAGCTAATTTTGTTTTTAAATTGTTTTTATTTTTTTATCTTGATAACTGTTGCTAGCCATTTTCTAGTTTTTTGACTCTTTTTAATTCTCACTTTGATTTCAAAGTTGACCTGTTGGGACTAAATAGGCCATACTGTGTTTTATTTAATTGTTTTCTAATACTCATTGGCATTATGATACTGGTTCATAATCTTTCATGTTAAATGCATCTCATTGACACACTGACTTCCTATCCATGTCATGCCTCCTATCAATGTCCTTTTATCCTGGAAGCTTTGGCCAGGGTACTTACTATTTCCACGAAAGTATGCAAGCTTGTTAGACTAAGATTTGCATTCCATAGATCCATATTGTGATGCTTTGGTAAGATTGTGTACTTCTCAATGCAAGATAATGGCATCCCTGAAAATTATCTCCTAAACTTGCAGAATAGGGAAGTTAATCATTGTGATATTAGCTATGTCTCCCTGCCCTAGTCCTTAAGCCAAGGATCTTCTGAGTAGCTAATTTTGTTGCATTATATACATAATTTGTCAGCTACATACTATTATAATTTTTAAATGAATTTCAGCTATCTGTGGTGCTTTAAAATTAATCCTGCAATTTGTAAATTATTCTCTAAGTATTCTTCATATAATGAGTGTATTTCTCAACTTTCTTTCAGTTCCTGCAGCGAACCTCCTCGCAGGAACTGGTATGTTCTTGAGATCTTCTTGTGTGAACACTGATGTGAGGTATTCGTTTAAGGTGCTTTCTTTTTCCCCCCCAATATTATAAATCAGTAATTTTGTCTTTAGTTTACTTGTGGGATATACTATTTGTCTATTTTCATACTAGTCCAAATTAAGATGACACTTAAATTTCCTCATAATGTTTCAATATCTTGCTCTCAATATTGAACGGTTCATGTTTTGGCAGTTTCATCTAGAACACTTCCCTGGGTTTACTATTCTCTGAGAGATGTATTTCTTGTCTGTTCTGCATTGTGGCTTGGCAAGCTTGAATTTGTAATTTTTTGCGTGTTCCATAATAGACATCTTAAAAAGGTGGTCAGGATACAAGTTATCAACGCGTTCAATATCTTGACTGAGATCGTGCATGTACAGTAGTGCCTTGTTTGAAGAGCTGTCAGTTCTGCAACCTTAAACATAACTCGTGTGTAGTATTTGAAGTACCTAATATTAAAACTGGCATCGTAATTTGAACATTTCCTTATTATATGGTCTTTTGGAGCTGTGTGAAAGTAGTAGTCAAAGTGGGGGTGTACAGCAGATTTATAAATCTTAATATTCTTGTTATTACCTTTAAAGCTACTATACTGTCAAATATATGATGGAAAAAGGATAGGAGGAGTGGTTGGCTAGAGCTGCTTAAATGAATGGTAGTGCCCACTCTTATCACATATGTTATACCAATGTGTGGCAAGAGCAGGAAAAATGAAGATTTTGTACAGAAGAAATGAGCATCTTGAGAAGAATTATGTGGTAGATGATAGAATAGTACAAGTACATGATAATGTCATGGAAAAATAGTACAATGGTAAAGGTAACTTGTAAGATTGAAAAATGTAAAAAGATGGTTTAGCCATGGTGAATGAATTGTTGGTTATTCAAATGCTAGAGTATATTTGAGTTTATATAATACGAGCGTAAAGTTCAGAAAATGGGTAAACACTGTGGGCGAGTGAACTCATGAGTTGAGAACAGTACACAAGACATTGCAGGAAACACTAGGTGGAGTCTGTTTATTAAGAGGGAGTGAATGCGTGTACTCGCGTTGTATGTACATGACAAGGGTGTAGGAGGATGTGTTGTGCTAGCTCTCCATTATGAGGAATGTAGTTAATAGTTATCATTTTGGAATACAGTATACTGTATGAACTATCCAAATCTTCCCAATTTCAAATAAATATACTGTACTTGTACAGTATACTGGTAAATAAAGGTCAAATAATATATAATTTGTAATAGTGGTAGTGTTAGAATGTAAAAAGGTTTACTTTACGTTAAAATAACGAGAGAATATCTTAAAATGTTAGAGGCAGTGCATATTGTCGAGTTCCTAGTTAGGCAATAACCCACAAGACAGTTGCAGTTAGTGTAGTGCTCCATGGACCTGCAGCACTTTCAATATATTCCCAATCTATAGGCGAGGATCAATCCTGAAGGCACATATAACTTTGATTTTGGATTTATTTACATAATTTTACTTTGATTGTATTCATTTATAGGACTACTTGACCTGTTCCTATACTGTTCTTCCCTCTTGTCCATCCATTTGCTTTCCCATCCCATAGTGGTAAGAAGAAATATAATACAGTTTTTGCAGCAAATTTTTTTTTTTGCAGCTGTACAGATGCTGCTTCTTTCAAAGATAGACTGTTATGCTAAGGCCATTTCCCTGTTCTACATGTACTAAGACAGTATTTTCAATACAATAACTATGAAGTGCATTGCCCCAAGGGCAGGATTGCTGACATTGCTGAGGAAACTCTCGTTCAAGATGAACCTTTATTGCAGAGCTTTTACTCAAGATTTTTCAGGGCTGAGTGGATATACAAAACAAATTGTTCATATACCGTGTCACAATGGGCAAGAGGAAGGGCGGGATTGAGTAATAAGCTGGTGAAGTGTTGATAGTGAAGAAGAGGTTCCATTGGACAATGTCCCACAGACTTTTACTCTGGCTCTTACCAGAAGCAATTTGGCAAATGGCAAAGTGATTGTAAAAGCTCCTTGATTATGTCGTGCATGTCTTGCATGCTTGTGCTACACTTTGCCCTTGAGGTCACAAGGCTTACTGAAACACCACTCCCCCCTCTCCCTCCTTTCTCCAATAAATGGGACTGTAAACACCTGCCTTGATGCCCATGTTGCCATATCCACAAGGGAATAAACATCATGGATACCCATCAACTTAAGCATGGGCAGTAACACCTCCCAGATTATCCTGTGTATTAGCCAAACACCTAAGTTGCTGAAGTCTATTAACCAGCTAACCTTAAGCAATCTGGGAATTTACTGAACAGGATTAGGATGGCAAACCTGAAAACCAAGAAATTGGCTAACTTTGGTGTAACCTCCAAATTCATGAGTCTGAACAGGAAGAACGCTATAATTAAGGCTGCAGAGGGAGTGGATAACATCTGACATGACGTTACCATATCCAGTAACTGATGATTTTTTGTTGATTTAGAGGATCTATGTATTCATTTTAACTACTTCAGATTCAACAACTACTACAAGCAGATGTATTGCATGGCCATGGGTTTGCTGATCAGCGTGGTATTCGGCAACTTATTTATGGAGTCCCAGGAAGTGGGTCTATTCGACGACATCGTGCTCATCATCGTCACCTCTCTGCACTATGTCGACGACATACTGATATTTACCCCTAGATGATGTGATCTTCAGAACTTAAAAAATAGCCTAAATGCTGTTGAGCCTTCCATTCAGTTTACCCTGGAGGAAGGGACGGATGACTAACCCCCCCTTCCTTGACATTTTCCTGATGAAAAATTACTTTTCAAATTTTGTGCTTACAGAAAGCCTAGAACAAAGACCACTTCATTTGCTCCCATCATGACACTTAAGATAAAAGTCAGTGTCTCGTAGGTTTTTTCTTCATGGCTTACAGAATATGCAGTAGTGAGTTCCTGGAAGATAAATGTGATTTTATCACCGATCTATTTACCAGACATAAATTTCCTCTTAATTTGCAAGTGCAGAAAGAAGGCCACACAGATCCTTCATGAAGCTAGAGAACACAATGAACCTGTCAGGTGTATCATCCTACCTGCAGGTGACAATGCTACTACCATCAACTGGATGCTGAGAACAAGTAATGGTGGTGTCACCTACCTCACCACCTAGATAATGAAGGGCATCACTAGGACTGCTATCAACAACAACAGAGACATCAAGGTGGGTGTTTACAAACTTCCCTGAGAGAAATACAGCATGCACTATGTAGGAAAGATGACCCATGACCTCAAGATCAGAGTGGGCAGGTACAGATACGTGTAGCATACACAAACAGAAATGTATGGAGGTGCCTGTCATAAAATACAGAAACGACATTAACCCAAGGCTAAAGATCTTTCAACATTGCTTTGTCCTTTGCCAGACTATATTGGGGTGGAGCCAGATTAAAAAGTGATTCTGACACAGGTCAGAGCGAGAGATCATTCACAAGCACCACCTCTGCAGATTAAAACCCCACTGTGAAGGGTTGTAAAAGCCGTTTTGGTATATCCTCTTATGAAAATGAATTTCTTCACTGAGAGGATTGATGTCTGTAATAAAGGCTTGTCCTTAGTCGTTGTTTCTTTGAGACATAACATACACCATCATATTCTACCTGCAGTGTCGTACTCTTTTGTTTGTCTTTGTTTATATGTTTGTATTTATCAATCATTTGATTGGAGATTTATATAAATTGACAGATTATATTTAACTAGATACAAAGCAGGCAGGGTTCAAATTTACTGAAGAAACAAAAATCATATGAATTGACTTTATCGTGACACGTTAAGGTCCTATCTTTACTGTATTAGCTCGCTAGTTCAGACTATATAGGAAGGACCTCCAGCCAGATGAACCGGTCTTCCGGATCAAAGGACATTTCACCTCGGAAGTCCAAAAGCAAACATTTCCAGAAATGTTTGTACGACAACCAACATTATACTTAATGTGTGGACATTCAAATTATGTTGTCGTACAAACATTTCTGGAAATATATGCTTTCCACACACTATACTTAGTGTGTGGGGCTGGGTGGGTGGTTAGCTACCTGGCTGGTAGGTGGGCAGGCTGGATGGGCAGATGGCAGGCAGATGGGATTGGTGGTTGGCAGGGAGTCAGCAGGCAGGTGGGTGGGTAGGCCAGTGGGTTGCTGGATGGGTTGATGACAGTCAGACTAGCTTGGTGGTTGGCAGGTGAGTGGGCAGGCAGGCAAGTGGGCAGATGGGTTGGTGGGCTGGATGAATTGATGGGGGGCAGATGGGCATGGTGGTTGGCAGGTGGGTGGGTGAGTTTTGGCAGATTTGGATGGGCGGACGAGAAGTCAGGCATGTGGCCACACAGTCAGGTGGTGGGTGACACTCCCTACCCATACCTCCCTCCACCATCACCCCCTCCCCCCTAACCCATGTCACAAGTGACGACAACATAATACTCACTCACTTGCTGTACGATAATGCCATAATATGTGCCTTGTGTTAAACCCCATTTTATTTTCTTGTAAATATTTAAATAAATAACCAATTACTTTTCAAATATTATGGTATGGTTTTTAATATTAATAACCAGCTCTCCAAGGCAAAAATAAAAAATATAATGATTAAACAACTGCGTCACGAGGGTCGGAGAGACATCAAACCCTCCCTGATTGCCACCCTCTTGGACTTGATGCCAGTCACCTCTGGTACACAATTCACTTCTCCCTCACCCCCACCCTCGATACCCACACCCACTCCAGCCTCCCTGCTTGCCTGAAGCCTCCCAGCTTGCATTCCAGAGGCCTGACTCCCTCCTTTCCTGGTGGTGGTGTACAAAAAGTGTTAGGCCGGGCATTTCACTTGTTTATCTTTGTGGTAAAGGTTCACATGTTATATTCTGCGGCAAGTTGACCCTTGGTTTTGGAGAGTTTTTAGGCTTAAAACTTTCTTTTTGTATACGCTGATGCGGACAAATATCCGGTAGTTCAGATTCTATGGACATTCCATCCGGATAGGAATATAACATTATCTGAAGATGATTTTGACCGGATTAAGGCATTTTCCGGATCGGCGTGCTTCAGATTAGCGAACTTTTACAGTATATCATTTACACCAAAATATCTAGTACAGTATGGGGAACTTTCATATTCAGACGTACATGCTGAACATAAATCATTTGATAACTACATTGACATCAAAGATCAACACACAACCATGACCAAATTAAAATTTGAGAGATTGTACCGAAATATTTAAAGTACACTCGGCTACTCTGACAACCACTTGATGCGAGCACTATTGTGCAAATCATCCTGGGATAGAAAAAGGCGCAGTCTTTACAGAAGGGCACTTTCTACAGAGCCAAAAAACATTGAAAACTGTTTCAAGGAATTGGCATTCCTTAAAACTTATTCTCACTTGGATTTCCTGCTTGAGTGTTCACATATGTAGTTTCCAATCTACCATTTGTATTCTTCAGTCTGTTCTAACTTTGTTTCATTGACAGAAATTCCCCAGTACTTACTGTGAGGACCAACAGTCACAAGTGGCTGATTCTTCAGCTGGTCTGACTTTTCTCCAGTTGGACCTGGACATTTAAGAACTTTAACTCCTAGCCTAGGCATCTATGCCGAGTTGATATTGGCATGGTTCATATATTACTCAACATTCAGAGGTTTGAGTGTCATCTCATTCAGGTGACTGCCAAACTTTCAGCTGGGTTCGTACTTCTGGAATATCGTAAGAACTTTCTTTTTCTTGTTGGTTTAGTCAATGATTACTCTTGGCCTTTCTTGCTGTTGCGTGAGCGAGTCCTCTTGCAGGTATTTTGCCACCATGAAGTATTAGGTACCTGGGTTTGTTATAGTTGAGTGAGGTGGCCCAGTCATGGAAGGTGGGTGGAGAGATGGTAAATGTAGATTATTCAGCATAAAAAATGCACATAAAGTACAGGTATTTAAGTTGCAGAAAAATACAAAGACAAATTGAGAGAAATACAGTACAGAATTCATTTATGATCCTATTCACTGAAATTTCTGCTGTATCTGATGACTATGAATCATTCACCTGTTACTTGGGGAGCCAGTCGGCCGAGCGGACAGCACGCGGGACTTGTGATCCTGTGGTCCTGGGTTCAATCCCAGGCGCCGTCAAGAAACAATGGGCAGAGTTTTTCACCCTATGCCCCTGTTACCTAGCAGTAAATTAGGTACCTGGGTGTTAGTCAGCTGTCACGGGCTGCTTCCTGGGGGTGAAGGCCTGGTCGAGGACCGGGCCGCGGGGACACTAAAAAAAGCCCCGAAATCATCTCAAGATAACCTCAAGATAGATAAGATACTTAATCAGGTGTCTGGTTTTCATACACCTTTGCGATCAATTTCTCCTGCTCTTTGGTATTTTATAATTCGGTATTTGGTATAAGGAACAATAAAGTGTTACAAGGAAAACATTAGATGCTTCAACTAATACAATACAGTACAGTACAGTGGAACCTGGATTTATGAATACCTTCGAATTTTTTTAATTATGACCCCAATTTTGTTGGAAAATTTGACTCAATTTATGACCTTTGCCTCAACTTGCGACTTTGTCGGTACACGTATAGGGTCGATGGAGCATGTAGTTCCTGGTGGTATAGGCGACCCCACTTCAGTTTACCAGACAGCTTGCTTTGTGATAATCATGCTTGAACTTTTGCAAAGAATTTCATTTTTTGTTTTTGTTTTTAACATAAAAGTAATTATCTCTTACCATGGGTCCCAAGAAAGTCGGTGGTAAGGTTCAACCTAAGAAAAAACATGAGAGGATGACCATAGAGGAAAAACAAAGACCATTCGTAAATATGATGATGGTGTGCGGGTTGTTGATCTAGCTAGGCAGTACAACAAATGTCAACAATATCCCCCATACTTGCTAAGAAAAAGGACATTATGAGTGCTAAAGTGACAAAATAATGTGTATCAATAATCGGGAAACAAAGAACACAAACACTTGAGGGTGTTGAAAAGTTATTAATAATTTGGATACACAACAAGGAGTTAGTGGGTGATAGCATTTCAGAGGCCATCATTTGTGAAAAAGCAAGGCTATTGCATGAAGATCTTATAAAGAAAACTCCTGGAACGAGTGATGCAGATACAAAAGAGTTTAAGGCGAGCAGGGGATGGTTTGAGAAATTTAGAAAAAAAAGGTGGCATTCACAGTGTTGTGAAAATTGTGTGTTGGTGGAGGAACACGGCGAAGAACTGACCACCGAAGAACTCTTAGCCCTTCACAAGCAGCAGCAACAAGAGACAGCTGAGGAAATTTCTTCAGAGGACACAGCAGTACAGAATGTCCCTTCCTCAACAATTAAGAAGTGGTGTGCAGTATGGGAACAAATGTAAAGTTTTGTTGAAACAACCCACCCAAATCAAGCTGTCGTAGGCCATTGCCTTAACCTTTTTAATGACACTGTGATGCCTTGCTACAGACAAGTGTTCAGACATAGGGAAAAGCAAGTCTCTATGGAAAAGTTCTTGGTGTGAAAAACAAGCAATGAGCCACAACCCGGTCCTAGTAGTATGTAGGCAAAATGTAGGGGGGGCAAAAGAGAGAGTACCCCAGAGAAGTCATCACTGCCTGATGTTATAATGGAAGGGAGGATTTCCCTTCCAAACAGTAACACCTCTTCTCCTTCCCCTCTCCCCTCCTCACCTTCTTCCATATGCCAACAAGTCATCAATAAAGGTAAGCTATAACTTTTAGATACTATAGTACAAAATGTGTGTGTTATGGATTAATTCAATTTATATTATTTCTTATGGGAAAATTTGTTTCGAGTTACGAATTTTTGAGTTACGACCTCTGTCTGGGAACGGATTAAATTCATAATTGGAGGGGCTACTGTACATAAATGCAAGCAATCCAATGAAACATGCAAGTGAGGCTGAGAAAGCTGGTACATGATACGAGATGGTTTTGTATTGGTTTTTATGGAGAAAGTGTTTATTCCAGTGTTTCTTGGCCCCCCCCCCCTGTATGCTGTAACATATTAGTTTTTCAGGCTAAATTTTTAGAATTTAAAATAATATTACTTGAAGATTATTGCTCTTAAGTGAAACATTTTTGAACGAGTTGAATGTTTCTACAGAATGATAGTTTGAAAGATATGAGGCAGCCTTTCAGTAATGGAAATAAGTATGTAAGAGGAGAAATAAATATTTA